CGAGAGAACAATGGCAAGCAGGCTAGTAGCCTACCCCGGGGCTCTATATGGAACTTAAGGTGAATTTGATTAACCATATTAACTCTGGACGGTTGGATATTACTGACGTAAGGAGCATCGCGCGGTCGCGTTGTTGTTGGTATAGTACAAACAGAGTCAAGTACGGAACGGCCGTTAAAGAAGTAACGCGCATAGGCTATTCAAACCGTTTGACCTTTGGAAGAAAACGTCTGCATTATGACAGCGAAGGAACACGGACACGAGATAAGTACAAGTATATACGTTTAATTTAATTCAAATAATCGAAAGGAAAAAAAATCCTATAGAAATCCAACCACATTCGGTGTCCTAGTGCCCTTGGTTCTTCCGTAAGGGAGCTACTTATGTTATTTTGTATAGAGGACATTTAATTAGGAAGTGTCTTTCATCTTCTATTATATCACTACAATGARAGCACTTCCTTTCCTCTACCTTCTTGTAACTAGAGTATCTGCCTCTTTCAATTTCTAGGTCGTGGTTACTTATTCTTAGCTTAGTTAAGGTTCTTCTGTGATTGAATTTTCTTCTGTGATTGAACCTTCTAACACATCACTAACTTTGACGGCTGGAGATTATCATTTCTTTATATGCCGGCTAAGAATGTAATTTTATGGCTCGATGTAGGTGTAACTAGATTGAGCCAGTATCTTATGCATCTTAAGTTTGCAGCTACATGCAGACGGAGTCGACMTAGTTCTGCATAACAGGCAGAATTGGTTGCATATTTTCCCACTCCGAGTAACATTTTGCAAAATTTGGTATGACGAACAAGTTCTATAGGGTCACTTTTAGAAACCTGAGACTGACCCCAGACTTCACTGCCGTATAACAGAATAGGTTTTACTAGTGTGTCAAACAGTTTCATGGTGAGATGAGGGTCATAGTGAAAGGAGTGACCCATCTCCTTTTTTTTATAGCTTAAATGAGGCTTTCAGAGCAGATTTCTTGAGGTTCTGTTTCGTAATTTTGAAATTTCCGAAAGCCCTAAATGTGAGGCCGAGGTATTTGTAAAGTTTAACATTTTCTAAGATTTAGTTTTGATAATAAAAAACATAATTACTTAGTCGCCTCCCTGAATTATTGAAAATTAGAATTTTGGTTTTCTCAGTATTTACATCTAGACCATTTGCACTAGAGAATAGTTCAAGTTTATTTAAAAGGGATTGAAGATCTGTGTAGTTTTTACTCCTCTATATTCGCTATACGGGTACGTGCCGCCAAACTGGGTATGGCTTTCAGCAGTTCTACTCTGAAACAGGTATGAATTTCGGCGATTTTACTCTGGAACAGGGTCAGGGTTCAGAGGGCTCAGCGGCACATCCCTACCCTAAACGGGCAAGAGTACCCCCCCCCACCCCCCTCAGGGTTTATAGAGTGAATATGAAGATCTTCTAGCCCCTGGTTACATATCAAATATAGTACAGAGGTTATGAAATTCAGTTTGAGGAAATGTGTATAAAACCACAATTCAATTTTGAACATCATCTTCCAAAGTAATTGACGTACACTTAAGATGCCTGTATGTTCAGTGTGTAGGTGTGCAGGAAATAATATCACGTTTAATTAAGAACGTGCATGCAAAACTGGTAATTAAATTGCGTTGACTGCGATTTTTTATAAGAATTATTGAAGATTATCATAGAGTGGTTTGAGCTAATCAGATTGCATGATATACTTAAAGAAAAAATATTCGAACAGATAACTAACGATTAGAGATCATATCAAATAAGTAAGGGGAAAAAATGAACTACATTAAATAAAAGCTTGCAAATTATGACCAAACGATGTACATACCTACGAACGGGTAGCTAGGCGAAATACCTTATAGTTTATTGGTCAGTGTCCGGTACGACTGGAGATA